AAAACCTATGTTTGGGAGAACGGGTAGGCCGGATTTCAACGCGGTCAAGTGCGCCAGAACCGCTGCAACGGCGCGGTGGATGTTACATAATATCGAGTCGATGCGCCTCGAGGGAAAAAAAAGGACCGGAAAAGAAAGTTGTTACCATGGGCCTCCATAGACATACATGGACAAGTTGTTCCCATGTGCATAAATGACGACACGCCTCGGCCACCGGCCTCGATGCAAACAAAATATAAATTACTCAAAAGCCGACGTATATACTGGTTACGGATGTAGTCCTCCGTAAACTGGTTATCTACATCCGTAACCACGTATACACGATTGATAATGTAGCCAATGTTTGGGCGAACGGCTGAACCGATTTCGACGCGGCCAAGTGCGTTAAATTCGTCTCAACGGCGCGAATGTTCTTACGCTATTGCGCCATCGATACGCCCCAAAAGGGAAGGAGTAGCCCCAAAAACAAATTGTTGCCATGGGCCCCATAGACATACATGGTAAATACATTGTCTTTTGCGGACCGTTCGGAAAAAACTGAGACAGACCGCGGCCTTCGGCATCGGCACGTTACAAAGTATTGAAAATTTAAGAAACATGTGCAAAAGTTGATCGCAGTCAATCCCACCAGCGTGATCGGTATACCTTGTATTCTTTCATATACGATATTTCTTAGATATCTTAGGTTTCTTAGGTTTTCTTAGGTTTCTTAGATTTTCTTAGGTATTCTCAGGTTTCTTAGGTATTCTTAGGTTTCTCAGGTTTCTTAGGTTTCTTAGGTTTCTTGGGTTTCTTATGTAGTTTTCACAGTAGGATAAGCCCAGTGGTCACTCAATGGCTTGTTGCCATGGATGCCATAGGGCTAACATACGCTTGTCTGTCACCACGGGAAAATTAGGGTTTAACAAGAAACAGCTCTGGCTTCGCCTCTGCGTTTTTTGTGGACCAAATACCGAGTGAACGAATGATTCAGTTAGTTTTAGACTAAATGCAAAATAGCAGCCGAGGCACAAACGAAAAAAATTTAATGGCGAAAGGTCAACATTTGAAGAACCGGGCATCAGATATTGGCCTGATCGACCTCAATTCATAAGAAAAAGTGCAGACTGCTAACGTACTCGTAATAATTATGTAATGCCAGTAAGCGTCCGCTTGTTGACTAGTCACCAAACTAAATGCAGGAACACGAAAAATTTGAGCTGATACAAACGCAAGTTGACCACAGATCATTCCCCGTCACCAGTTAAATCTAATAAGGCGATCTGTTGTCTTATACTCGTACTAAAATTAACTCGTTTCAAACAAATTCATAACTGCTATTGAATGACTACTGCTTCTTCGAGGATCGAATGCAGCCATAACTGCTAACTATGAAATCATAACTACTGTCTTCTCGAACACACTGCAACTTTTGAAATTTAAACTAGTCTATTTGCCCAGTCGTAAGCCAATATTCATCCGTGCTCATCTTGTTAACTACATCCGTAACAACCGTGACAGAGTAAGGTTAAAAACCTATGTTTGGGAGAACGGGTAGGCCGATTTCAACGCGGTCAAGTGCGCCAGAACCGCTGCAACGGCGCGGTGGATGTTACGCTAATATCGAGTCGATGCGCCTCGAGGGGAAAAAAAGGGACCGGAAAAGAAAGTTGTTACCATGGGCCTCCATAGACATACATGGACAAGTTGTTCCCATGTGCATAAATGACACGACGCCTCGGCCACCGGCCTCGATGCAAACAAAAAATATAAATTACTCAAAAAAAGCCGACGCATATATACTGGTTACGGATGTAGTCCTCCGTAAACTGGTTATCTACATCCGTAACCACGTATACGATTGATAATGTAGCCAATGTTTGGGCGAACGGCTGAACCGATTTCGACGCGGCCAAGTGCGTTAAATTCGTCTCAACGGCGCGAATGTTCTTACGCTATTGCGCCATCGATACGCCCCAAAAGGGAAGGAGTAGCCCCAAAAAACAAATTGTTGCCATGGGCCCCCATAGACATACATGGTAAATACATTGTCTTTTTGCGGACCGTTCGGAAAAACCGAGACAGACCGCGGCCTTCGGCATCGGCACGTTACAAAGTATCGAAAATTTAAGAAACATGTGCAAAAGTTGATCGCAGTCAATCCCACCAGCGTGATCGGTATACCTTGTATTCTTTCATATACGATATTTCTTAGATATCTTAGGTTTCTTAGGTTTTCTTAGGTTTCTTAGATTTTCTTAGGTATTCTCAGGTTTCTTAGGTATTCTTAGGTTTCTCAGGTTTCTTAGGTTTCTTAGGTTTCTTGGGTTTCTTATGTAGTTTTCACAAGTAGGATAAGCCCAGTGGTCACTCAATGGCTTGTTGCCATGGATGCCATAGGGCTAACATACGCTTGTCTGTCACCACGGGAAAATTAGGGTTTAACAAGAAACAGCTCTGGCTTCGCCTCTGCGTTTTGTGGACCAAATACCGAGAACGAATGATTCAGTTAGTTTTAGACTAAATGCAAAATAGCAGCCGAGGCACAAACGAAAAAAATTTAATGGCGAAAGGTCAACATTTGAAGAACCGGGCATCAGATATTGGCCTGATCGACCTCAATTCATAAGAAAAAGTGCAGACTGCTAACGTACTCGTAATAATTATGTAATGCCAGTAAGCGTCCGCTTGTTGACTAGTCACCAAACTAAATGCAGGAACACGAAAAAATTTGAGCTGATACAAACGCAAGTTGACCACAGATCATTCCCGTCACCAGTTAAATCTAATAAGGCGATCTGTTGTCTTATACTCGTACTAAAATTAACTCGTTTCAAACAAATTCATAACTGCTATTGAATGACTACTGCTTCTTCGAGGATCGAATGCAGCCATAACTGCTAACTATGAAATCATAACTACTGTCTTCTCGAACACACTGCAACTTTTGAAATTTAAACTAGTCTATTTGCCCAGTCGTAAGCCAATATTCATCCGTGCTCATCTTGTTAACTACATCCGTAACAACCGTGACAGAGTAAGGTTAAAAAACCTATGTTTGGGAGAACGGGTAGGCCGATTTCAACGCGGTCAAGTGCGCCAGAACCGCTGCAACGGCGCGGTGGATGTTACGCTAATATCGAGTCGATGCGCCTCGAGGGGAAAAAAAGGGACCGGAAAAGAAAGTTGTTACCATGGGCCTCCATAGACATACATGGACAAGTTGTTCCCATGTGCATAAATGACACGACACGCCTCGGCCACCGGCCTCGATGCAAACAAAAATATAAATTACTCAAAAAGCCGACGCATATATACTGGTTACGGATGTAGTCCTCCGTAAACTGGTTATCTACATCCGTAACCACGTATACACGATTGATAATGTAGCCAATGTTTGGGCGAACGGCTGAACCGATTTCGACGCGGCCAAGTGCGTTAAATTCGTCTCAACGGCGCGAATGTTCTTACGCTATTGCGCCATCGATACGCCCCAAAAGGGAAGGAGTAGCCCCAAAAAACAAATTGTTGCCATGGGCCCCCATAGACATACATGGTAAATACATTGTCTTTTTGCGGACCGTTCGGAAAAACCGAGACAGACCGCGGCCTTCGGCATCGGCACGTTACAAAGTATTGAAAATTTAAGAAACATGTGCAAAAATTAATCGCAGTCAATCCCACCAGCGTGATCGGTATACCTCGTATTCTTTCATATACGATATTTCTTATATATTTTAGGTTTCTTAGGTTTCTAAGGTTTCTTAGGTTTTCTTAGGTATTCTCAGGTTTCTTAGGTATTCTTAGGTATTCTTAAGTTTCTCAGGTTTCTTAAGTTTCTTAGATTTCTTGGGTTTCTTAGGCTTTCTTAAGGTTTTTTAGGGTTTCTGAGATTTTTTTATTTATTAAATTTCATAGTTTTCTAAACGGCTATGACCAATGCGATCAACCGTTACGAAGTGTGCATTGCGTAACTAGCTTTCGCTGGAAAAGGTTGTGTACGGATGTAGATCCCGTAAACTGGTTATATGAATACTAACTACGTAACCAGGGTCCTCGCTACTTTGCCGTTGTAACCAATTTTCTCCCGTTCCACACATCCCATCTGCACGCTCTAAAGTGCTACAGAATCCTCTCAGTGTCGAGAGTGTTCCTGCATCATCAGTTTTCTGGAAAGCCCACTAACCACAATCCAGTGGTCACTCAAAAGCTTGTTACCATGGTGGCCATTAGCTTAACATGGGCTGTTTGTAAATCCCCAGATTGTTACTATGCGTTATTATATCGAATTGTCATTGAAATTAGCGAACTGCGAATGAGCAAAAATAACAGGTTCTGCTCACGCCTGTTTATTTTGTTCGTGCCTTCTTAATGTAATTATCATCGTGCCATTATTTAATACATATACGAGGACGAGCTTAGTACATGTGATAGACAAAAAAACTAGCGAGAGAATCTGATAACCATTTGCGTGCTGTGCAACACTGTCAGCCACCTTAGGCTGGCGGTAGCCGCGCGCCGTCACGCAGCCGTTAGCTGAACACGGCCTGCTGTTTACTGTAACGCACACTCGTATTAAAATTTAAATGCGAGTTTTGTTTTGGTTTTATAACTTTGTTTATAATTGGTTCTCCGCAAAATTTCCAGTAACCAGTGACTGACATTAATTAACCAAGCTCTTGATAATAATGTTATAAAATTACCATCTAAATATAAAGATTCATCTGGCGAGATGTACTACGATGAGAATATCACCGACGTACGGCTACCTGCCAGTTTGTTTTCTGCACCTGCGATGGAGATTTCTTGCGCGAGTATCAGCGTTGTTTCGGGCCTACCGTTGAGTGAGAATTGTGGAGGAACCTGCCAGCGACGTGCCTTTACCAGCAGCGTACGATGATCGTATGGCCTTGGCGCTGAAGGCTTGTAGAACGGGAACCTGTCACAGTACGCTGCAGCGAAAAGTACAAGGTTCCTTACTCTTCGTTCTGGAATAAACTGAAGGGCGTGCGTACGGAAAAGAAAGGCGCACATATGAGAAAATTTTCGGAAGCCGAAGAAAACTACATCGAAAGTCTGCTGCTGAAGTGTGCGGAGAACGGCATCCCTCTGGATAAAAGATTTTTAAAGCGGATTGTGCCGTTACTGACCAAATCTAAAGGTAGCTAAAAATGAGATATAAAATTATTCGTGTAAAATTAAATTAAATTATTGACTATTATCGCATTTATTTATATTGGTTAATTTTTAAATTTGAATGCGTCCGTTTCTGATGGAATTTCAGTGACGTTAGTGTGAGAATATTTGTACGTTACGGTTTTTCTTTTACTTACAAAAATTGTACCTTGTACAGATGTGCCCAAAAATCGAAAGATGTTTTCATCATACTGGCATCGCGAATTTCTTAAAAGGCACCCGAAGATTGCTCAGCGAATTTCACACAGCGTTTCCCGAAGAAAGGCTAAAGAGTGGACCGTGGAGAATCGGGAGGGTTGGATACAACGACTGAGTGAGCTTAATACCGAAGGCCTGCTGCTTGATCCTGCAGGAATCTGGAATTTTGACGAGTCAGCGTTCCAGGTAGCTGAAAAAGTGACGACGGTATACGCCAAGCGGGGGGTAAAGGAGGTCCTTTCGTACTACGACGGTAACGACCGCGAACTAATCACGGTGTTGGCGGGCGGCAATGCGGCTGGAGAAATTCTGCGACCATTAATTTTATTTGACGGCAAAGTTTTCCTTGCTTCTCGTTTTGACGGCACAGACGACAGATGTCATATGGGCTTTAACTCGTCAGGCGTGATGGATAATTCAACTTTCACTTCATATATCAGAGAAGAAGTCATCCCCAAAATGACGGCAGCAAAAGTGCGTGTTTTCTTTTACTCTACTAAAAAAATTTAAAAAAATTAAATTTATTTAAATTTATTAGTTGTCATAAATTTCTTTCATTTTATTAAAAAATAAATATTGAAAAATAATAATGTTGTGTATTTTTTCAGAATGTTATTTTTCTCGATGGGCACAGCTCTCATATGTTCAATCTGGAGTTTTTATCAGAGTGCATGAAGTCTGACAAAGATATTACCGTTGTCATACTGCCGTCTGGTCAGACCGGGAAGTTGCAACCCATGGATCTGAAGGTGTACGGTCCTGTTAAAAAATATTGGCGGGATTATTTGCGACTGATGACCCTTATCGCTGAAGAAGAGGTATTTTCATTTTTTATGCTAATTTTAGTTAATAAATAAATCTGATAAATTAATCTGAAAATAAATTTGATCGTAGGTTAACAAACAAAACTTCGCTCGTCACCTTGTGAAAAAATGGGATGAATTTAACATGGCCGCCAATATTATTTCTGGCTTTGCTTCTTCCGGAATTTATCCTTTCAACCCGGATGCGGTCTGCCGAGCTTACGTAGAGCCCGTTCCAAGCCAATTTCTATCAGACGTTCCCATTTCTGTTGCCACCGTATACGTGAGCGAGCTGGAAGTTATACGCACAAATCTTCGAAAAATTCCACTTTTGACTGAAGGACAGATAGAAGAGATTGTGGCGTTCACAATCTCTAAAGCAGAAGGTTTTCTTCCATCGGTTGCAGCTGACAAAGTGGCTGCAGATTGGCACCATAATTTCATGAGCGCTCATCCTCAGAAAAAGAGAAAACTTAAAGATTCTCGTCTGCGCGCCGAAGCAGGACTTATTGCGACGGACAGTAAAGTAATCGCAGCGCTCGAGCAACGGAAGCAGAAAAACTGCTGCAGAAAATAAGAAAAAAGAAACACTCGTAGCGGACTTAGCGATGTGACAAATACTCCGACTAAAATTAAAAAATCTTTCAGAATGGGTAAAAAGTGAGTCCTCTGAAATTTCACATGTGGTTCTACAAAGTCAAAGTTTTGCTGTAAGAAATAGAGTGTGCGGTATTACTGGGGTGATTATTTGTATTAAATGTGATGTGTTTACCAGCACTGACAAACCTGGGTGGTTGCCCGTGTTGCACGGGCCGGGCATGGTTATCAGATTCTCTCGCTAGTTTTTTTGTCTATCACATGTACTAAGCTCGTCCTCGTACAGTTAACCTTTTTACATGCTCGAAATCCTAAGGCATTATTCATCCGTGCTGGGCTTTACATATACTGTCTTATCGTTTTGTACAGAAAAAAGTCCTCTATACGCTTTTTGATCCTCATACGATAACTGCTAAGAACTATTTCTAATTTCCAGTGTAGGACTGTTGTGAGCATGTCACAAGAAATGAGTACCCCGACTCAGACAAAATAGCCAACGATTAAGGAGACAAAAACAAACTGGTGAAAAGGAAGAAACTACGAAGAGAACCATTCAAAAAAAAGGCAATGCGGATGCCAGGACTCGTTCGTTTGTCAGCGGGAAACTGAGAATCAACAGGTGGGAGACCAGGTTGGCGCCGACTGTGCGCGGCAGCGCAACGGACATGATCACTGCAACATCGTACTGATCAGAGCCAGACACAACTGCATGCATGCGGCGAGAAAGCACACAAGGATTACCTTGAAGGCGGGCTGCCCCTTTCGATCGTTGGGCTCGTTCCATTCATCCTGGTGATCCGCGCCGATGTGCCACAGCATGTAGTCGCGGTTGGTATAGCACACCAGACACTTCTGCAAAGTGGAGGAGCAATTACGCTGCAACTGAATTATGGTGAGCGCACGTTGCTGATTAAGCTGACAGTTACCGCGACGGGGCAGTCATAGCCGACAAGAAAACGACCCGGCGTCGGCTCGGTGTCCACGCTGCTGCTCAGCGCCTCCCCGATGCGCTGCCCCGTCACCTGGGCCTCCAGGCGAGCCCGTGCCTGCCAAACAGACTGATTAGTCACACAACAACGGAATAATCCGGCAGCGCTATGGATTGAATGATTTAGTGAGGTCTCAGACCGGTCCCTGAGGTCGTCGCAAGGCGGTTTGGAAGACGACCGGACAGCTTAATTTCGAGAAAATAAACGGCCGTAACAAGATTTTAACTGCCAACCTGCAGGGCTGTCTCCGAGTACGCCAGGCCCAACAGGTGCGGATGCACGGCCTGGATGTGCGCATCCATCAGGTGGAACGGCCCGAACACTTGCACAGGACACTTCTGCACAACAAACACACTCAACCGGTCGCACCCACAATACAAGTCACTACCTGCGTGAATAAAAATGCAAACAAGTACCAGGTCGGCGCAGGCGTGGTACAGTTTGGTGGGCAGCGCGCAACGCCCGCCGTGCTGCGTCTTCACATGCGTGAACAGGCGTTGGGACGAATCCAACAGCCGGCCCTGGCCGTTTTCAACGGCGGCGCACGCGTCGATCTTGCAGACGTACTTCACTAGACCACCCTGCAACACAGCGTCCCATTGCAGCACAGACTCTCAACAGACTAAGCCCCACGCCGCACTGACCACAACACGCGTGGGAATGACGATCTTCTCGGCAGTGATCTGACTCGGCCACAGGACACGCAGATCGCTCGTCCCCTCCGGGAACTTCTGGCTGCGCGCCGTGCGGAGGAACTGCCGATGCTTCTACAACAACACAAATTTCCAGCTGCAGATGATCAGCTACGAGAACGAAGATTCTACAGACACCGTCAAATGCTGCGATTCGGCTAAGACAGGAAATCGATTTGTAAAAATGTTTGTTTAGAAATCCGTGAAGACAGTTTTGTCTACAAACTCTTTGCAGCGGCATTAAATATGTGCATTAAATATTTCCCTGCCTTATTCACTGACCTCGCCGTTCTTCTTCTTCCGCTGCTTGACCAACGCCTGCATCATGCGTTCGACGTAGTCCGGGTGGCGCTCGTTCATATGGGTCGTGAGGAAGGAGCCGATTGGGTCGAACTGCACGTAATCGCAATCAACACCGCGGTTGAACTGGGCCGGACACGGACAAGCCAGATTCAGCTGCACATTGTGCATTCCGTGGGCGCCCTCCAAGTGGATCTTCAGCCCCTGCGGCATGCCCGCGCGGAACGCGACGCAGGCCTCCACGGGCTTCTCTCCCAGACCGAAGGGACAGCGCAGGGGGTCGATCATGGACTAGGGCGTCAGGCCGTTCAGTACTAATTAGGAGCACGATGCGGGCGGCTCGCCCCATATAAATCTACGTATGTATATACGCTCTAATCAACGGGACTCGGCGCCGGCATTTTATTCCACTGATCAGAGGAGCTCCCTCTGCGCTAGCACAACCGACACCATATATACTGCCACTGCGCAGCGCAGCTGCGCAAAAATCAATAGTCTGACATCACATCTCCAGATCGTTCTGGATACTTCCAGAACGCACGTCAGTCATACTCTGATCATGCGTACAGCGCGTGCACATGCATACAGCCTGTATGTGGGAGATATCCCATACTTCCCCTTCTAAACCGACACGTATAACAGTAGTCACACATTAGAAAAAATCGATGACAGTAAAACATTACATGTTAAGGAAATTGCGATTACGATTGCTCGCACATCCAGGAAACGTAGAGGTTTATTGATTTTTTGGAGTGGAAGTAGGTCTTGGAAAGCAGTTTATCGTCACATGGGAATCCGCTCAATAACAGGCAGGCATTTTCTTAGCAGTAGAAGCATTGCAACCGTTATTATTCCATTTCCCCACTGGCCGAACTGGCTACATAAGCTATCAGGCTACGAAAGCAACTCGGGCTACACAGGCTAAATCAGATCAATGGCTTCCATACTTCGTCAATGTCTGTATACGGGCAAATTCATAGGCTTCCTACATGTGGCTGCTTCATGTCCTGGCTTGCGGCAATTGTAACATGAACGTGCGTGAAAGCGATGGTGTTTCTTCGGAGTTTTCTGGGACGTGTTGACGTGCGATTCTTGGTCTGGTAGAACATGTAGTTTGATCGCATTAAAATTATATGGGGTTGGGCTTACAGCATGGATTTGTTGAACAGGAAAGAATAATCTTGGTCGTGAATTAGGTGGGATTGACTTCAGCTCAAAAGTCAGCTGTTGAACAAAGGTGTTGATGGAGTCAGGCAAATTGGCAAAATGTTGGTTTCAGCTGTTCTGGCAGATAGTCGAAGAGAAGAGATAATAAATCTTGAAACGTTGGATTGGGTGTGGTTGATTTTAAGTAGCAGTGGATTGCTTGTACGTATTGCTCCGGTGACAAAGATTTGGCATCCATGTTGATGGTCAAATGTTATGAAAGGTCACATTTATTCGTATAAATTTCTCAATTGATTTTAAGGTAATAATGTTAAATAACAGTTCACTAAAATACGTTCAGTACATTTAGTAAAAGGTCAAGAAAAAACGATGGAATTTCTGATCAGCATATGCAGGCGATGGAATTAGAATCATGCGTTGGTGAAATCCCGATGAAATATCGCGTTAGGTAGAATAACTAAACACCGCAGAACGTATTCAGGCGGTAATAATCTTGTGTTGGCAAAATTGGGAAAAGATGGTATAGATTCGTAATGGGCTCGTACTGGGGCGAGCCACCACACAAAAAATTCAGATGAAAATATGAAAGGTCAGAGGAAAACTGATGTTAACATAGATCTCAACCACGATCTGCTACCAATTTGCGGGCGGCTCGCCCCATATAAATCTACGTATGTATATACGCTCTAATCAACGGGACTCGGCGCCGGCATTTTATTCCACTGATCAGAGGAGAGCTCCCTCTGCGCTAGCACAACCGACACCATATATACTGCCACTGCGCAGCGCAGCTGCGCAAAAATCAATAGTCTGACATCACATCTCCAGATCGTTCTGGATACTTCCAGAACGCACGTCAGTCATACTCTGATCATGCGTACAGCGCGTGCACATGCATACAGCCTGTATGTGGGAGATATCCCACAACGACAAGGGAGGATTTGATTGAGTACGGATAAGTGACCCACCTGAATCGTTCCCCTCACCAACACGTGGGTGACGTTTTTGGAGACCCGTGTCATCAACTCGTTGTCCACGCCACTGCCAAGGACAACCTCCCGGTCCGGGCGTCCCACAGCCGCGCAAAACGCCTGTATAAAAAGCAACATAATCCAACAGACTACTGACATAAGTGCCAATCGTTAGGCTTTTCTGCACAGCGTGAATACGTGAAATGCCCTGAATCGCCCACTTTTCCTAAGGAAAACGACTTGTCGACAGTACAACCGCACCAGGCTACGCTGCTATCTGCTGCCAGCCTGAGCCACAAACCTCAACGCTACACTGGCTTCAGTCAACTTTCACGTCGTGCTCCTTTTAACAGTTTTAATTTAATAAGTAAATACAAAACAGCAGTACTTTTAACATGATAAGATACATAACTGATAATACAAGATCACGGACAAAACTGGAGATGACAAAACAATTGAAAACATTCCAGTTACATAGCTAAGCAGCTGCATAAAAGACTCGAGGAGCCAGACCGATAGGGAACAAAATATCGTATTCGTGGAGGATGGAGTTGGAAACAGGCTGAATGCGGAAAAATAGAACTCTCGACTAGAGACAGCTGCGCATTTTGTTATTCATTCATAGTTAACTGTTCAGCACGGCCCGAGAAAAAAAGAGAGAAACAGCGAGAAAAGACAGCAAAGCTGTCAGAGAATAAATAGTTCCTCACTGAAAGGCACTTACGGTACTTACCAGTTCGTCGGGCTGGCTGGTGTTGGGAGGCTGCGGGCGGTCCCGTTTGGGGCTGGTGTCCTCGGAGGAGATGCTGGCTGTGGAGCTGTAGTCACTGTGGTGCGATGAACGGCGAATCCTGCCTGGCAGCGGCAGCGCGACGTCGGTAGCGTCCTCCTGCGCGTCCCACGCATCGCCGCCGTCTTCTTCGATGGCGCGCAGTGCCATTATTTCCACAGCGCTGTACGGATGCCAAATCCTCACGTTTAAAATAATTATTTCAAAGTTTCTCACCTTCCAGTGTACAAGTACTTGCTGTCACAACTGTGGCTCCTTAAAAACCCTTCATTTGCTATTACAAATACAGTTGTAAACAGTAAAATCAAATTTGTAACTTCGTGAGTCTGTCTGCGTGCGAAGTGCGAACTGTGAATTTACGGGAGCACTGAGGCTTGTGAGCTGCAGCCTGCAGCACCGGAGCAAAACACGGAGGCGGTAAGCATGGCGACGCAGTGCTTCGCTTATTGTGACTGCTGCTAAATTACTGTGCGTGCAAATTTTGATTATTCAAAACTCTTTAATTTCGCATATTCTTAAACGAAAATTCTATCCATACTCATAGACTTGAAAAATACATAAAAATATTTACGTTTTGGATATAAGAATTTTTTTATTTATTTTCCTGGCAAAGCAAAGACATGACCGCAAGCATTTAGCATATTAGTCTATGGCAAACCTGGTGCTGACTTTTACGTTTTCTCATAGGAGACTATGTTAAACTGCGGAGAGCCATATCATTACTTCGCCATCAAAATAAAAAACTGTATTCATACTGCCAAAAAGTATATATTATTATGTTTTCTCAAACTTATGGATAGAATTTTCGCTTAAGAATATGCGAAGTTGAACGTTTTTGATTACTTAAAATTCGTACGTAATTTTGGCAGTCATATATTTTTATAATATTGCTTCCGAATAGTTTTTATCGATTGTATTAATTATTTCGTGTTTCAGTTATTGGTCGTTTATCAATTAAGTTTGCTGCTTGCGTTTTTGTTCTCTTGTTATTACTGTGTTTCACTCAGGCAGTTGAGGCGTCATTCTGTTTTACATTTTTTACGGCTCGAATTGTTTGTTTAATTATTTTTTATGTTTATTGTTGTTATATTATGTTTTCCGGCCAGTGCCTTCGTTTTGCTTTGTTTCCATTGGTTTTTAATGGAGATAGAAATACCCCATGACACCCGTATTTTGTTGTCGTGTTTCATTAATGTTTTGTCCTTATTTAGTTTGGATTTTGACTGTACTGGAATGTTATTCTGCATTTTTTTACTATTTTTCAGTTACTGTACTGGCAACCCATAGCACTCATGCATTCATTAATCCACCCATCCAGAATCTCCAGGAACAGCTGTTGACCCAAGCTACAAGGAAGCTGCACTGCGCAGCAGCCGTGCGAACGGCTGACGCCGCCGACGTACGTCGCATGCGGTCGTGGGGAATGGCAGTAGCGAGGAGATGCTGCACGTACGTGTACCTATGTGCACCTGCAGGCTACAGCTGAAGACCGGCCTGGCGTTCGCCGATCACCTGGACGCTGAGGCTTAGGGCGCGCCGCGCCTGACCGACTGGCTGGCGGAGCTAGGCGGCCGCTTCCCCGGACCCGGCGGACCGGCAGCAGGTGGAGAGGATCCTGGAGCTGGTGCTCCCGGGAGTGGGATCGGATCCCCGGGTGGTGGCCCGCTACGGCTGCACGTGCCCTGGACGGTGGAGAGGGTGCAGGGCGTCTTTGGTCGGCGCACACTGGCGCGATCGACCGCTGCGCTCGGCAACGCGAGCTGACGGCCACACGGCCCGGCGTGCCGCTCATCATCTCATGGTCCAAGTCCAACGGCGCATTCTCCTCTTCCTGCCAGTCCTGTACACCTATTCACGCCCCTATTCGCCCTGATCGTCCATTCTGCAGCTGTTTATTCATAAGAACTAGATCTGTTTTTCTTTTTTCACCAGTCAGCATGTTTCTGCGTGCAATACCATAGCAAGACGCTGGCGTTGCTGGACGATTACTAGTACGAGGCAAGCGACAACGCTTTAGTAAATTACATCACTTTCCCTGCTGCATCTTCACCGTGTGTAAGCGCTCACGTGATACTTTGCTTCAGCCGTTTCACGTCTAAACCGGTTTGCGGCTATAGTTGATTACGCAAACTGATAACAAATATAGAGAAGAGCACGGCAGGCGAGATTTTATCGCCGGCTCAGTAAGCGCTGATCAGTGATCACAATGGATACGATATCACGTGAGCGCATGCACACGGGTAAGATGCAGCAGGGAAAGTGATGTAATTTACGATGTAAAGCGATGGGAAAGAGTTGCCGCTTGCCTCGTACTCAAGTATTTCATTTACTAATACGAGTACAGTAATTTAATTACGAGCGGCTAAAATCACAATAAAAGCAGCGGTCGGCACGTATGCATTTGAGAGACGAGTATAGACTAATTCTTGAATCCCATAAATCTAATTATCCCAAATCAAGTATTATAATTATGCGGAACTTAAACTGCGGCCTGATTAATGGGCAGAGCGAAGTTATAACCACGGCATGTCCCTCATCCATGATCCAGTGAAGGAAAGTCACTACGAAACCACTATCTGAGCATCCTGTAACTGTTGCTCAGTATTCGCGCTATCCAGCGATCAGTTAAAGGATGTTTTCACAACTTCACTTACGTCCCACTGAAAACTGGAAGAGTATAATCCGATCCAGAAGCAGATTGTGGTCGCTTTTAAGGCACATGTACATACTGTCCAGTGCAGAAAAACGCCAGCTAGGCGAGAGAGTAATCGCGTTCACCGAGCTGTCATCACTGTCCGGTGCACCCAATCGCTACCCAGCTACCCTGGCCATATTGTCAACTGCAAAACTATCGCTAGAGTAGGGTTAGGAGTGACTATGTCCAGTGCATGCGTGTGTGCAGTTAGTATTTTTCATGCAGGAGACAGTCCGAGACATCTTCAAGTTCTTGATTAACAAGTTTTACAATAACTTCCCATGCAGTTAAATACTGCATTAGCTGATAAAGGAAACGAAATTCTTCGTTCCAACCGGCCGTGGATCACAAGTGCGGAGGCGAAGCCGCAGCAGCTATACAATACCGCAGTTGTATTCGTACTACCGACAAAGACCACCCCGTTATGATTCATCCTTTAATTCATTTCATCGCGTTATTAATTCTGTCCACTTTACCGGCTACTTTTCCTTCTCATGAATATTTAGAATTCAGTCTTGTACTTAGCTTGCTACAGCTTGCACCATCTACTTGATCAACCTTGTCCTAATCCCTTGCCCTGAAACTTGTTCCGTTTCTTGAACGCCCTTGTCATTAAACATGCCTTGAGTTACGTTGTTGCCTTTGGCTGCTTGGGATGAACCTGTGTCATCCCAATCGGAGCCACCTGTGTAATTGTGTTATATCGGTAAGAGCGTCCTCGGCCAGCATCGTTGCCGGCCGTGCCACCTTTCATCCCAACAGCCCACACAACATCGTGGTACGGTCAGCACGCCAACCCACTAGAACAGCAGCCAGATAGGCTACTGTTACAATACTATCGGAAAGTATGCTTCCATAGTTCCAGTATAAGTTGGTAATTATCGTATCAACTTGCTCGCCAACTTAAATGACAGTCAGTTTATGAAATTCTGGCTGGTATAGTTGGTTTGCTAGGAGCCTAGGACGGAATTCCGCTGAAATAATCACTGATACCGACAATCCACCTGAAATACGAGTAAATCCGTATTATACCGACACATACAGCTGTACTGTAGCTGTCTCTATTTTTATATTAGGACTAGTGGCCCGATTGGAACCAAGCTCGTGGTACATGCACGAAAACTTTCACATATGCTCATTGCTCGCACACGCCCTTTTTTACAGTGTGGTAAGTACAACATTGCGTAGCGACGTAATTTCTATCTGTATGTTGGCACGAAAAGCATTTGTGCACGCAACATCGGGCAGGGAAGTAGTGCCTGCAAGAAACTCCAAAACGTTTTAATGCAATCAGTTGTACGGTACCAAAAGTCTAATTACTGAGTCCTGACCAATCATGCATGAAACTGCTTGCAACTACACATACATGTAGACGTAACCAAATTTCCCTCATGCTTCTTAAATTTTTCACCAATTTAAGGAGTTTCACCAATTGTAGAATTTATTAATAAATTGGAACAGAGTGCCAGAATTGCGGTTCCGCGCCACGCTGGTCCGATTTCTTCTAAAGGCAGACACGTCTCCGTTATGCTCTAACTTGCGCAGTGCTGTCAAGATCACCTACAGGCTACAGGTATGTCGGCAGGGGAGTATTCGGGTTTGCCCTGGAGGAAGCGGGAAAGCTGCTGACGGAAAGCGCAGTGCGACTGATTTTGAAGCAGTTGCAGAAGCTGGAAAGAGAGCAGATGCAGTACCATTTGGTGGCTGTGGGAAACGAGCACTGGACCGTGACAAACTGGTTAACCGGTGTCGTTTATGCGTTGCAGATGGAGCCAGGCGAGACATCTAGCGGCGCAGCTCGCCTCGTGTGTTCCTGCTTTTTCAGTTGCAGCTTCGGCCTGCCTTGCCGGCACGCTATCTTTGTGCGGTTCTCGATAACAGCACATCAGCAACTGCGCGCTATTGATGCCGTTATTTGCTGGCAGTGATCCTCTACCGGACCGGATTACGAGTTCCCGCAGTCAGCATTATTCCTGCATGCTCTTGCGTATGCCGCTAACAAGGACGTCGAAGATTTTGTGGATAGGGGAGATTTATTGAAACTGAAGTGCTGACAGAAATGAAACCAACTCTCTCTGCAGCCCGCAAAAAGAGCCCGAAGACGCAAGCCCGTTGCAGCCGCTGCCGGTCAGGATTCCTGCAGCACCGCTCCATCATCTTACTGCTATATTCTCCGCTGATAGAACTATGCAGATGGTCTCCATCGGGACCTCGAAGAGCGTTCCAGAAAAAGTTTTCCAGACACGAGGCGTGCTGTGACTGGAGCACTTGCGTGCCGATATACAGAATCAGCGGGACGGTCCAGGTTGGAGAGATTTCTTCCGTGCCTTGTGCCGTTGGGAACCCGTGGCGCAGGCCGCAGTGCCGGACGTCCAGAATTTTGACCAGTTAGCGCAGATCACCAACATCAGCTTCAGTATTCTCCGTAAGTTGTGTGCTAATCGAAAAACTAGGGGCAAGATCCTGCTTACCGAGCTCGTAATCAGCAGTGCTATAAAAGAGTTTGTAGTGAGTATTCTGTATATGTCTTAGGGTATTACTAAAACCTGGACACGGCAGGCAGGCAACCGGCAGGAAACCGGCAGGCCACTGGCAGACCTGTGGCAGGACACAAGCGGCGCTCGGCAGGACAGTGGACGGCAGTCTCT